GAAATAAAATAAATACATGGGTATGTTAGGATACCATTAAACATATTGCTGCATGTTTGGTGGTTTGGGCAGGATGCACCATACTCGACTTTATACCATTGAGTTAGCAAGTCCGCTGAGGGGGTCAAACCTACAACCTCTCGGTTGCAAGGCAAACATACCAGATATGGTGTGCAAATAGTTTTTCCTCATGGCTCATGTTTACGCAAAAAAGCGTATTAATATTATTTATAATTTTGATAAAATTTAGATGTGGATCCTCAGATGTACATGGTTCCTAAGAAATACAGAAAAGTGGAAATCAAATATTCTAAACTTGGAGTTGAAGACTTTGATTTTAAGCATTACAACAAGACTAATTTTGCTGGCTTGGAAACGCACATACCTAATGCTTACTGTAACTCAATGTTACAGGTAAGTAGTTAATATGTTAATTAACTTTTCAAGAACTTCAAGTTTTGCCTCATAATCAATCTTACACGCAACATAGGATGTTTGTTGGCACTAATTTGTTAACATTTTTGACGTTTGATTCTCCAATATACCACATTTTTCGCTAGACTATTCAAAAAAAATTCTTAAAGAAATTAGTTGACGTATTATGTTGATGACCCCTTAAATTAATTAATTGTTCAACATCAAGGGAATTTTTTGGGCAGACATCTGGGTATTTTCACCGCCTGCAACCATCATGGTGAAAACAAAGGCCCCACCTTTACTTTGAGATAGTTGCTGAGACAAGATTATCCCGACAACATATATAAATTTGGTTGCGCATGATTACTTCAAAGTTGAGTTTGCGCTGTTTGCTTTACTATAGCTTTTCTCACCGATTCTTCAACTGGCGTTCCACAGCAGCTTGCGCAGAGCTCATAGAAATACATAGTACAGTGGTGCATGTTTTAGCAATGCATCTGTGATGTAGCTCCGCCCCCGAGAATTCTCTGATCGGCACAGCTGTATGCAAATTAGGGTTATATTATCCAGTGATGCATCACTTTATATTGACTTATTTTTTCTTATCGTACAGGTGCTGTTCTTTATTGAACCATTGCGATGTGCTCTTGAGACCCATCTCTGTTCCAAGGAGTTCTGTCTAGCATGTGAACTATCGTTCTTGTTTCATATGTTGGATCATTGTAAAGGCTGGACATGTCAGGTATGTAGTGAAGTTTTAGGTTGTCTGTTTTATTAGCTACCCACGTGTATGAGGAGAGGTCAAGCAACGTTGATTCACTTTCAGTCAGTAAAAACGCAGTTTTAGGCACATTTTACTATACCAACTTCATTTTTTTTTTTCAGTTCATTTATTCCCTATTTTAGATATCCATGTTGAAAGTTTACAAACTAGTTTTCGTTCATATTTATCGCATACATAATGTACACTTCTCCACAGTGTGATGTAATACAGAACCGATTGAAAATGCATCCAAAAGATTGGTTGCATTTAAAAGAAATCCTAGCGAAATGAAGCCGATATAACAAATCTAGTGTAGAGATGGCGTTCGTGTGGCATCAACAAAATTCGCATATAAGATGCGCGCAATGATTTGGTATCATTTCACCAATAATTCTGCTTTTAACACTAGTCTTTCCACTATTTCTGACTGTGGGTATTATATACATGCATGTTATAAATATATAATCCCACAATATTTTCTCTTAGGATGACGTCACAGACACTCATAATTACAGCCAGAATGGCATCATTCCTCACCTGTGGCCTGGATTGATACAGAACTTAAACATTAGTCACTCATATTGTGGGATTATGTATAAATATATAGACTGTAAAAGCATTCATTTTTTTTTTTTTATTTAATTTTTGTATTTGATCTTATTCAATAAATTTCAAATTCACAGATTTCATCTTTGCGCTATCCCATCTATTTCAGGCTACAAACTTTCTGAGGTCATTCCGTACTGTTCCTGAAGCATCTGCATTAGGATTAATATTGGCAGATGCCGAGGAATCCACTGGAAAGGCTAATCTGAGAAGATTAATTCAGAACTGGAACAGATTTATTCTTCAGCAGATTGAATTGGTATGTTGATTTGTAGCAAAAGACTACCATATTTGCTCTATTAGAAGCACATACTGTATAAACCAAATATTACATTTATTGTATGTTGAATCATTGAAATACATGTATGCCTTGGAATTTTTTGAATATTTTCGTAATTTTTGGTAAAAAATAATATTTTCAACTTATTGTTGAAAACCGCAAATCTGATTGCTTTGATATGATACATATAGGTACCTCAGGTGAACCTCCCTTAAATTTGTTCATTTTGTGATGATATCTTCAATTCTCTAATTTTGTCTGTCTGTCCAGAGTCATATTTCAGAACCCTGTGGACCAAATCTGTTCATTCTTTGCTTGTGTCTAGTACTTCATCTAGAACATATGCACATGCAGTGTTTTACTGATTCAATCCAAGATGGCTGACTGGCAGCCATTTTGTTTTTTAAAAATGTGATATCATATGCAGTTTTTGTTCAAATTTGGTACATACATTATACATGTTAGGATACATGTCTATGACGATTCATTTTGCGATCGGATTTGACATGGTTTGTCATTTCCATTCAAATTTGTTTGAAACCTTGTCCATGACTGGCTGCCATCTTCCTTTTTTTGTCCATACCGGTACTACTACATATATCCAAGGTCTATTGCCCATTTTCAGTCATATTTGGCACATGCATCATACATATTAGAATACATATCCATGGTCAGTTTGTTTCATAATCAGATCATAGATGGCTGACTGGTATCCATCTTGTTTGTTGGAAAATGTGGTATCTTGGAAAGGATTTGTCGGTTCTCGTTTAAATTTGATACAAACATTATACATGTTGAGATACATGTCCATGATGATTTGTTTCGTCTTTGAATCCAAAAAGACCTACTGGCAGCCATCTTCTTTTTTTAAATGTATTGTTGACATATTTGTTTTTGTCTTCAAATTGTTCATGTTAGGATACATGTCCATAACAATTAGTTTCACAATCAGATCAAAGATGCTTGACTGCCTGCAATCTTGCTTTTTGATCATACTACTACATGTACATCTCTATACATGAGTCTGGACAAATGAAATTCAGTTTGGGTACGAAAAATGCATAAATAGCAAGTTAGTAAAATATTGGCTTTTAAAAAAACCCGTTATACCCAGTGGTATTAGCCACTGTTACTTACTTCACCATTAGTTCAAGTTTTATTCTCAAACTGATGCTTTCTTATGACATTTTCACAAATGTCAAATAGATTTAATCATGTACAAAGTGTGTGTTGTTGTAGGACACATCAGAGCAAGACGAGACAGCGCAAGCATTGCCACCAACCATGGTTAGAAGTACTTTTGGTGGATCAACATCCACGGTAACCAGGTTGTTCCAAACAAATGCAGAAAACATCAGTAAATGCAAGTGTGGTATTGAGAACGTGCGCAATGGTTCCACATTGCTCTTCAACTTGAATTACCCACCGTACATGCCCCAAGGTAGTTGATTATTTCTACTTTTGACTATGTAACTGCAGTATGTTCACGTTCCTGGTCATAATGTATATCAGTTTTAACAATTGCTGCATTTTAAGATTTTTTGGCAGAATTAAAGAAAAATGGAAGAAAACTATTTTATGAAAATTTAACTTAATATGTTGCAATCAGCATAGACACCTAATATGTCTTCACACAAACCATCCCATACTTTATCCTGAACTTGCAGATAATTATTAAAATGTACAGCAAACTCATGGTGTGTTGGAAAATTATTTAAAATTGCAATTTTCTCTCCTTATCAAGGTCCGCCAAAGAAGTGTTCATTTGCCGATATCATACAACACAGTATGAGTTTGGAACAAACCATGCAAGCATGGTGCGATAATTGTGAG